GAATTTAATTCCCTTTTGATTCTCTATCCTTTGTTAAACAGAGTGGTCACCAGGCTCAGAACTTCATGGAAGATAAATAATAAAGTAAAACCAAAAGTCATGTAAGGCAGGAAGACTTATTAAAGCTCATCTATTTGACACTTATATCTGACATCCACAATGGTCTGGTTGCAGGCCAGGACAAGAAGCTGAAATTACAACAGCAGCTACAGCAATGAGCCCTGCGGCTAGAGGAGCGATGGTAGATAACCACCTCCAATCCTGATCCCTCTGCTAGGACTTACCAGTTCCTGAGAGCAGAAAAGAAGGTAGGGCTAAAGCCCAACACAGCAAAGGTATCCTAGCAGTGTTGGGTACGTCCTCCTGCATTTAAAAGTGTCTGTAGCTACAGGATGGCACTGAAGGGAAACTTCCAGCCCAGTCTCTCTACCCAGAGCACTGAAGTTCTCCCAACTCCCCTTCGTTTCTCCCCACCCCACATAGAGCCCATTAACTCCATGCTCATTTCAGACCCTCTATTCCATTCCTCTCAGGTCCACCTATTCCCCTGGTTCTTCTCACAGAATCCCCACTTGACTTATCCACCCATCCCACAGGAGAAGCACTATGACCCTCTCAGCTGAAAGCTTCCAAATCTGCTGCAGCTGCAGGGTTTCTAAGGCAGAAGCACTCCCCACATCTGTAACTGGCACGGAGTAAAAAGACTATACAGACAGCATCTCCCAAAAACCTCTGCACAGCAGAGAAATAGGGAAAAAAAAAAAATGTTCTCTGTTAAGTGAATTCCTCTGAAGGGAATCATTCCAAGAAATAATGGGAGGGGAATTCTAGCTTCAAATCTAGCTTCAAAATAGTGTTCTTATCTGCAGTTTCCCCAAGTATCAACACGCTCAAGTAGTTTTCTCAAAGCTAACATGAAGCTATTGGGATACTTAGTTTGACACCAATGACTAAATCAGATGGCATCAAGTTTACTTGTCTTCTGCCACACACACCTACATGTCAAGACGATAAAGGTGGCCCAGTGCTGAGGAAATGAACTCAAGCAAGACTACAGCAGTGCATGGGGACAAGGAAAAGCATTTCAAAAGCCTTGGTGGCATAATACTGTTTCCTTTGACAAAAGGGAGACTTCCAATTAGTTAAAGCTAAGTGCCAGATTCCAATTCAGTGCTAAATTATTATGTGAGAATCTTTATTAGTGTTAGCACTAAAGACAGTTATACGAGAGCATAATACAGCATACAGCGTGAGAGACTTATCAGCCTTACTCTAATGCACTGTTGAATTCTGGTCATTGGTGCAGAGTCTAAATTTCTTCAGGGGTGATCCAATGAAATCTCATATGAACCAGGAGATCTCGGCACTTGCAACTCCATCCAGTAGGGAGGATACAAATAAACACAGCAATGTGTATAACTGATACAGGCTAGAAACAAAATCAGCCTACCTATTTCCACCCTGAAGAAGGCTTAAAGCTGTACTGGACTTTGTTCCCTTTCAACAGAGACTGTGATACCGAGGTGCCTCGGATTATGCAAAACTGACACACAGACTTTATTTTAGTATCATCTAGAATCACAAGCCTACGTACAACAGATTTTTAAATAAGATTTTTAAAGTATTACCCACACTCATGAGAACACAGGAGAAATACGACAAAACCCAAGTAATTGTGAGGGTGGTCAGACACTGGAACAGGTTGCCCAAGGAAGTTGTGGATGCCCCCTCCCTGGAAGTGTTCCAGGCCAGGCTAGATGAGGCATTGAGCAACCTGGTCTAGTGGAGGGTGTCCCTGCTGATGGCAGGGGGGTTGGAACTAGATGATCTTTAAGGTCCCTTCCAACCCAAACCATTCTGTGATTCTATGATTTCCAAAATGCTGTTCTTTTTATGCTGTCAGTGCCCTTATCCTGCTTTAGAACAAAGACCTAAGCAAGCACTATCACAAACAGTATCTAGATACTGATACATAAACAAATATGCTTTTTTGTGTCTGCAGAACACACTTCTAGGTGTTCTCCATATAACAGTCACCCAATATTTACATTTTTCCTACCAAAAACCACATTAAATTCTACACACTGTAAACGAGCAGAAGAGCACAAATTGACACTGATCATCTGGAAGACTCCAGATCACACTCTACTCTATTTGCTTCATTCCCACAGCTCTTTGCCTTTGGCACTTAAGCCCAGCATTAGGAATTTGATAGATTTCAAATTTTATCACAAGACAGGCTGTTTAGCAGCTGCTTATTTATTTACTACACATGTATAAAACCTGCCCTAGGTTACATCAAATTTTGATTATATCAGTGGTAGATGCACAGAGAAAAAGTTAAAGAAATAAGATAAAGATACAGTACTATTTCCAACTTCCCAAGCCATGAGTCACATCCAGAGAACCTTATTTAATAGCCACTGATGGCCATGCGCTTCCCTTTTTTGAATCCCCTTAAAACTTTTACTGAAAACCTACATGTTAACTGGAAGACATGGAAAAGACCCAAAACAGCAAAAGCAAAATGGTGTGTGCATATTTAGTCGTCGTGTTATACAGTCAACCCCCGTGACATCACATGCTGCACTGAGTGCAATCAGTAAAAGCAGAGGAAAAATATTTCACAAATGGAAAGTCTCAACCCATCTCTGACACCCAAAATCAGTGCAACTCTGTATGACTACTATGTGTGTGGATGTACCAGCACAAATACACACTATACATAAATACAGACCTCTGTGCAGGCTTTTTCACTTGACTCAAGAGTAGATAAATGTCACAGACTAACTTTCTCCAGTTATTCCCAGGACTTGCAAGCAAAAGCCCCTAAGGTTAAGAAGTTTCACTAAAAATTATTTTGGTTTCTGTTAAACATGTGACAGAACAATGAACATTACTCAGTTTTCCCCTCAAAGGAATACAAGTCCTATAAATACATGCAAAACGGATGCAGACATTTGTCCTACTTATATTCCTGGGACTTTTTAATTGTATTTGTCTGGCTTAAGCAGCGAGAGCTGCTGGCCCAGAAAAGGAATTATGAGCGCACTCTGTTTCTGAGTGCAAGAAGGTTTTTCTCAAGCGGTCATGTAAGTTATCCTATTACCAGTTTTCTTCTGGAAAAGTTACATCTCTTGTCCACATATCTCTGCTGCCTGTGAAGGGTATACACCCTTATTTGCATGTGCCTTAAAATGCAGAGAAAATAGATGCTGTAATTTAAAATGTTTTATTTACTTAAAAAAAACCCCACCAAAAATCCCTGTAATATTAATTTCAGCAAGCAAAAAGCATCAGGCCCCTTTTAAAGGTATACCAATGGTTTCGGCCACGCACCATAAATTATTTCCTTTCTCTTTTTACTGATAGACCATTAAGAATATTCTTCTTACATGAGTCTCCTCTTCATTAATTCAAATTCAATTTTATTACTACAGATTAACTTCACCTTCCTACATAAAACGCCTCCTGTCTTTGTATTTAAAGGCTTCCTTTGTTTGAAAGAGGGTTGCTGGTTTCACTACTGTACAATGATTTTTTTCTGCTGTAGAAGGCTTGCTACTATCTAGTCACTACTAGCTACAAATCTAACCCAAGGAGTTGCTGCAGATCACTCTCTAACAGTGTTCTGCAATCGACAGTGAATCTATTAAACGCACCTGCAAAAACAGGAAGTGTTCAGTTCTGGCACTCCATAGTCCTACTGATTTGAACAAGACTTAGTGAAACACAGGAGGTACGGTCTGGACATCAAGAAACGCTTCTTTTTTACTGTGAGGGTGACTGAGCACTGGAACAGCTTGCCCAAAGTCTGTGGAGTCTCCATCCTTGGAGATACCAACAAACATCCTGGACATGATTCTTGGCAACCAGCTCTAGGTGGCTCTGCTTGAGCAGGGGCGTCGGACCACATGACCTCCAGCGGTCCGGGTCCAGTCTTGACCATTCTGTGATCATTCAGCTATCAAGACACCTGAGAGATCACATCTTAAGCAGAGTCATGAGAAATAAGCTGCTACTGCCATTTCAGCAGCTGACCTCTGTCCACATGCAGCCAACACCTAGTTCAGTGGAACTACTCAACAGAATGACACACCATAGGAACACTTTCACAGGACAAATTGGAAAATAACCTTTTAAAAATTACTACAGAAATAGAAATACCAGTAATCTAACTGGAAATAGACCATCAAGTTGGTCCTGGTGTTAGCTTATTTACCTTTTTACCTTTTCCCATCTCCTTACGTGCCACATTTCTCCTTAAATTTCATTAGAACCATCAGGAAAGGGGACATCTTTCAAAATTAATTTCTTTGTTGACTATCATAATGGCATCTTCAGCCTAAATAAGACTCTCAAAATGAACACAAGAAATACTGTACTAGTACTAATCAGAGAATGTCCTGAATGTAATGTACTATTTTCACTAGCAGATTGATGCAACACTAGAAATGGTGGTATAAAGCAAACCCCAAATACTCACTCATATGCCACACAACTACTGTGGAACTGATTTTGTGCATGGAAAATAAACTATTTATCAAAATTAACATGTGTTATGTTCCCTGTCAAAGATCCACTCTCCAAGGTCTAACTGAGCAGAATCCTTTCCCTTCCTCTGGAGAAAATCTGAAGGGCTCCCCCCAACCCCAGCAATGAATCATTCCCTCACAGAGCCACGTGGTGCTTTCTTTGGCTATAGAGAACGTAAAACTCACACAGGGTAATGAAGTTTTCTACTCAACTCATTTTGATGAAGTAGAGAGTTGAACCATGATTTTAAGTAAAGCTTTTCTCATTAAAAGAAAGGCCAGAAATACAAAAAACTTAGCAACCAACCCCTTCTAATATGACTGTTCTTTGCTTTAATTACCTCTCCTCTCAAAAAAAGGATGACATAAAGAGAAAAAACATTACTTTTTTTTTCTTACTGATAATGTGAGAGCCTATATAGTATATATTCAGTCAAGATGTCCTTTTTAAAAGGTCTAAGATACTTACGGAGTCCAAACCTTTGGAAAGGCAGCAATTTCTTCTGGTGTATATTCATCTAACCTCCTGGGGACTGCACGTGGCTGAGGAATCTCTTGTAGAAGATTCTTCTGTATATCTTCTGGAATAACCTGAGGCAGGTGAGAACATCCTTAGCTATCTGATTGGTTGAAAAACACCACCACTCCCACCCACATCCAGACCCAAATTTGTTAACACTACTGCATTCTTTATGCTAAGTCTTTGACCTAAATACAGAAGACACTCTCACACGTCTTCTATCTCAGAATTTTGTGAGATACTAAAGCAAACAGCATCAACATTTCAACTATATTCAGATACATAAATAAAAGCAGCTTTATTTTTCTTAATTTACCTTCTTATGACAAAAGTTTTGCTAATGCTACCACTCTCTCTTTACCTCCAAATCACACAGGAATGAAAATGTAACTGCATGACTACTCACATCTTCTGGGAAAAGGTGCAGCCTCTGCATCAGAGTTCTTCTCTGAAGGTTTTTTGGAAGCATTCTATAAACAGTCAGTTTAACAATCTGAGGAAAGATAACATGGCAACAAATAAACAGACAGGCAGGAAAAAAAGGCAAGCTGTGTTTCCCTCTACCCATTCCATTAGTCATTGAACTTCTTTTCAGTCAACTTCTTCCTTGCTGAAGAACTCTGGCACCACATTCAGAAGGTGCTCCAGACTTACTGTTTTGGAAGAAGGAACACTTAGTCCCAGTCATATAAACACTTACTATAGCAGCCATACAGAATATTTCAGCTTAGAAAGTTAAGAGCAATATTTAGCATTGAGGATGATTGCACATGATCATTGAATTTTGAAAAGAATTGAGAAGCTTGTGGTAACTCCACTTTATAAAGAGTAAAAAAGATACCTCTTAAGAAGCAAAACTGTAAAAGAATGACAGATTTATATGCTCAAGTTAAACACAACAGAGGGGGAGAATCACCTCCCTCGAACTCCTGGCCACGTTTCTTTTGATGCAGCCCAGGATACGGTTATTGGCCTTCTGGGCTGCAAGCGCACACTGCCGGCTCATATTCATTTTTTCATCCACCAGTATCCCCGAGTCCTTCTCTGCAGGGCTGCTCTCAATCCATTCATCATCCCTTGGTCCGTATTGATGGAGGGGACTGCTCCAATCCAGGTGCAGGACCTTGCACTTGGCCTTGTTGATCTTCACAAGGTTCCCACAGGCCCACTCCTCAAGCCTGACCAGGTCCCTCAGGATGGCGTCCCTTCCCTCTAGCAAATCAACCGCATCACTCAGCTTGGTGTCACCTGCAAACCTGCTGAGAGCGCACTCAATCCCACTGTCCATGTCACTGATGAAGATATTAAATCCTTCCCTGATCCAGAGCCGGAATTTGGACTTCACTGTTCCACTTTGTCCCATTCTGTAGCTTCAGTACAACTGAATGAACTCTCGGTGGAATCAATGTTAGTCATAGAATCATAGAATCATAGAATGGTTTGGGTTGGAAGGGAACTTAAAGATCATCTAGTTCCAACCCCCCTGCCATCAGCAGGGACACCTTCCACTAGACCAGGTTGCTCAAAGCCTCATCCAGCCTGGCCTTGAACACTTCCAGGGAGGGGGCATCTACAGCTTCCTTGGGCAACCTGTTTATGACTTACTAACTAGTTATGACTTAGTTATGACTTACTAACTAGACATTTCTGACAGCGCATTTTTCACTTGCATGTTTTTGTGGTTATATTAGAGCCTTTAACGTCTGAGCCACCTTGAAATATTGCTATGTTACATCCATCCAGAGAGTAAGAGAGAGGAACAATAACCTTGAGTTTCATCACATATGTTCCCCACCCCAGCAACTCACAGTAGGGGCAAAGAGAGAACAAGGCCTTGGCTTCTGTAGCAGAGTCCAATTTCCCTGCTAGAACAGGTCAAAGGGAGATTTACACCTCCCACCCCTCAGGCTCACTCACCTTAGTCAAGAAGTAAAAGAGAAAAAAGAAAAACAGAGGTGAGGTTGTGATAAATCAATATTTGAGACTTGTAAAAAGCCAAACAAGCATTTCTAAGCAAGCTGGAGTGTAAATTTAAAAGGTCCTTCTATTCTGTATTTTATTATCAATTTACTGCAAGGTAGTTAGTCCAACAACAGAACAGAAGGCTATACAGGGAGGTAGGATAGAGAAGGTAGTGCTGGAGTGCAGGAGCAGCTGGTAGTGCTGCTCTAGCTTCCTTCGTTGTAACTTCTGCCTCAAAGACTTTTCCACAAGCCAAAGCAAATCTAAACCCAGCTCCTGGAAAGACCAAGTTTACATCCAGCTCCTTGCCCAAAATTCTGCCTACAGCCAGAAAGAACCGCACTCTCACTGATGTGATGACAAGTCAAAGAAGTTAGTAAAGTACAGGCTTAACTGAAGTCATGCAGACTGCTTTTGCTACTTTAGTCAGCTTGTGCAACAGAAAAGGCAGATCCCACCAGCAGTATTTCCAAGGTGTTAAGTAAGGGCTCTCCTGTTACCTGAACATGCTCAAGTTTTACTAAAAATACACCAATCCTAAATAAAAAGGTATGGAATTGCAAGAAGAAGTCTGCTACTGAGCTCATGTAATACCCAAACCCAGATTCAGTGCTCCCTGAAAACACACATCAGAATATTCTGTTTCTTTCAGGAATTAACAGCAACAACAAAATTTTTCTATATGCTTGTAATGTACTTTTAATAATAGATAATTCTTACTGTTTCCATGTGATTATGTTTATTTTGAAATATTAAAATAGTAAGTTTAATTTTACATGACAGGTATAAAACCCAGTTGATTTCTGTGGGACCTCACACTGGCAAAGAGGTCTACCTACAGGTCTCACTGCAACCTCTACCTCAGTTTAAAACTAAATTAGTACAGTTTAACAGTTTATTTGGTTATTTATGGATTCCTACTGCCTCCCATCCCCAGTCCTTTACCTCTGATACCTAGTAACCTGTAAACTTCCATGTCCACATAAATACTCACTCCTGAAGGCCATGACACTTTCTCCATCAGGTAAAGACAACGACCATCAGACATACACGGCCACCAGAGCGCTGCTATTTTGGGATTTTTAAACCACTGGAATGCTGTCTGCCCTGATTTCTTCTGACTTACAAAATTCCTATTGGCTGTAGTTACAATTGTCACCTTGAATATTGCAATACCTTTTTTCCAAATTGTCTAATTTATATACTCAAAGCATAGACATGCTCTTAATCACATAGTTATACAAGATTACCTTGTGAGTTTCCAATTTAAAGGGCTAATTAGAAGGAAAGGAATCTGAAGGCAGCTCTAGTAAAACTCTTGCACTTTCAGTCCCTTACTACACACTCTAACATTTTATATGAGTACGAATAAATTAAAAATATATCTATTTGAAATACTGTGTGAGGCTTGAACATTCCAATTTTTGTGACAGGTTTTGGCTCATGTGCAAGTCACAGACTATGCTTGATGGAGAGCAAGTTCTGAGAAAGATTCTTTGCCAGATAAAACATACTTTAAAGAAGGAAATCAACAGAGCAATACCACTCCTGGTCCCGAGAAGCACAAAATTAATTGGCCTAAGTTCCAGAAGAAAGCCTACCCTAACAGCTGAATTAAGTCCAGTAATCACCAGGAAGCAACTCTAGAACATGGGAGAGAAGCAGCGCTCCAGAGAAAACAAAGGAATTATTTACAGAACGTACCAAAAAAAAAACCCTAGAAGAATTTCAGGAGATACACCAGTTATTCAGAGGTACAGCTGGATGCTGCATCTTCTTTCTACCAGTTCTTGGTTTTCTGTTCTGTATATGATGTTGTTCTTTTCACCACATATGTTATAAAAACATACAAGGAACTTCACCTTATGAGTAGCAGAGCAACAGTGAATGTACTTAATACTGCCACAGGAATCATCTGGTCACAGGCAAATTAAACTTCCACTGCATGCCATTTTACTTTCTACTACTGGTCAGCACTTAAAACCTAATAAGTTTAATGTGTTCTTTAAATTAATGTATTTATTTGCCTTGCAAATTCAAATAAGAGATGGATTAAGATTTTTTTTGTTTTAAGCCAAGAAATATTTATTTTTGTCTACTACAAAGCAAAAGACTGAGCCAGCTCTATGACTTATTTAGGGCACCTAGAGGTTTGAGGTTTTAAGATAACAGGTTCCATAACAAGCATTCTCCCCACGCCATACTAACTTCTGTGTGCCTACTAATCCAGAATTTGAAGTTTTGCTCTACTTAATTAAAAAACCCCGTTACTCATACTAGTAAAAGAAAACACGACTATATCTCATGTTTCAATAACTGATTTTTAGTATGTATGTATTATTGTATCAACAACACCTTCCTGATGCAAAGAAAACAGGCTTTCAAATACCAATGGCAAGATTTAACCATGTTTCCTGACTGAGTTTTTGTTCAAAAGACCATTATTATGCAGATGTAACAGCAAGTCTATACGTGCACACAGCTGCTAAAGAGCATTCGAAAGGAGAATGAGAACATTTTAAGCCCCTTCATATCAGTGCCAGCAGCTGAACAAACCAGAACCCTGACAGCCCCGGAGGCTTCCTCGCAGCACATTTCCACAGAGCTCCCCTGCCCCGCTTCATCATCTTCCCTAGCAGGTGACATTCATTCTCAACAATTATTACCCATTATTTCTTTGTCAGAGGCAACAGAGCCTCTGAATACTGCAAAGGTCAATCCTCTCACTGAGCATTTGGTATCAGCCAAACATGATTTCTCCTTTTTCTTTTTTTTGGGGGCAGGTTCTGATGCAGCAAAAAAAAAAAAAAAAAAAGCAAGCCAAGTGTTGCTTACTTATAAAATTAAAAATAGAATAAAAAATGATTGAAAACTTTGTTCTGACAGGATTACTACCTGGTTCTACAGATTAGATCTGTCAACGTATTTTGCAAGCATTTAAATTAAAAACTGTAAGTTTTTTTCAGAAAGTTTCTTCCAAGTAATCTTCGCTCCCTCTCAAATCTGTGAGATTTAAAAGTACATCTTTTAGTCTTCCCATATCAAGTACTTTGAAGCCTAATTTTGAAAGTGCTGGTCTCATGCCTATCAGCATTTTTCCAGCTACACAAAACTTCAGCTAATTTTATTAAAAACAAACAAAACCCCCCAAACTTCTCTGCATTCCACAAACCTGCATCTCAAATAAATAGGTTTACCCATTTCCTTTATTTTCAAAAGACTCTCCTGGCAAAGAAAACACATCAAACCTTTCAAACAGATTTTTCTTAGCAACCTGCAATGGAAATTAATGTTGTCCACTGACATATAATCTCAGGGAGCAGTAATACCATACAGAATATTAGTATCACATTAACCTGTAGAACAGGGAGGCCGTTTCAAGCTACAGCAGCAAGCTGTTGTGCTGCACCTAAAGAACATATTAATACTCTCATCTATGGGCGGTCCAAGAAGCTACACTGAACCTAAGTCAAAGAAAAGGCTGAAATGTGCACAAGCTACTTTTTCTTCAGCAAGCGCTTCCTAAAGTGGGCTGGCCAAGTCCAACAGAAGAGAGCTATTCTCTGGTCTTCTCCAGCAGAGCAGACAACTGAAAATACTAGAAACTTTAAACAGATGCGTAGACACTCCCCTCCCCATGCCCCCCTAAGGTGCTAAAGGTAAAAAAGCGCTGGAGTATTTACTTTTTATATCTTTTTGGCAACACACTGTAACTTTTACCCTTCCATAAAAACAATATTTTCCAAAGTGCTGATGAACTCGGGGCAATGAACATGGAACTTCTAAGTTCTATACAAAATATCAACTATGCAGACCTCTTTTTGTATTCACTGCCCCATATTAACATAAAAGATATGAAGTTGGGAGGAGTGGCTGACACACCAGAAGGCTGTGCTGCCATCCAACGAGACCTGGACACGCTGAAGAGTTGTGCAGAAAGGAACCTGATGAGGTTCAACAAGAGCAAGTGTAGGGTTCTTCACCTGGGGAGGAATAACCGCATGCACCAGTACAGGTTAGGGGCTGACCTGCTGGAGAGGAGCTCTGAGGAAGAGGACCTGGGTGTGCTGGTGGACAGCCGGTTGGCCATGAGCCAGCAGTGTGCCCTTGGGGCCAGGAAGGCCAACAGCATCCTGGGGTGCATTAAAAACCGTGGCCAGCAGGTCGAGGGAGGTTCTCCTCCCCCTCTACTCTGCCCTGGTGAGGCCACATCTGGGATACTGTGTCCAGTTCTGGGCTCCTCAGTTTGAGGGGGACAGGGATCTTCTGGAGAGAGTCCAGTGGAGGCCACAAAGATGATGAGGGGCCTGGAGCATCTCCTGTATGAGGAGAGGCTGAGAGAGCTGGGACTCTTCAGCCTGGAGAAGAGAAGACTGAGGGGGGATCTTATGAATGTCTATAAATACCTGAAGTGTGGGGGCCAAATGGATGGGGCCGGGCTCCTTCTGGTGGTGCCCAGTGACAGGACAAGGGGCAATGGGCAAAAACTGTAACACTGGATGCTTTCCTGTGCAGCCTGTTGTAGGTAACCTGCTTTAGCAGTGGGGTTGGACTAGATGATCTCTTGAGGTCCCTTCCAACCCCTACCATTCTGTGGTACTTAGAAGTGTAAAAAAACAGTAATATTTTGCCAGTCTCAGGCACAAAATTATACACCTGAGATTAAACACTTATAATAGGCATAGGGGTTTTTTATTCTTTTCAACTAAGAAGAAAAGTCAAGGACTGGAAATGGTTGCCATGGGAGGCTTTTAAGATCAGTCTGGATAAGCCCCCAGCAGCCTTATCTTGCCTAATAGCTGGCACTGCTTTGAGTAGGAGGTTGGACTAGAGATCTCCCAAGGTTCTCTCCAACCTGAATCAACCTATGATCCTATGAAAAAATACACGTGCACATTCAAAATGCAGCACAAATCCTTCTGAAGCACGACTACCTACAAACAATATATTAAGGTCCAAAGTTAGTACAATAGATACAATTATGTCAGTCTCCATAGGAGAGAATATCAGATCATCATCCAACCCCATCTTGGTACCTTATGAAGAAACTGGAAATGATCAAGGATGATTATCTAATCATATGCAGTAAACATGTCTAAATTCTGACAACTACACTTATGACTTTCAGCCCCCCATGTAAACATAAACAATACCATTTTGCCTCAAATTACTCATCACAACCTTTTTAATTAGCTGTTAGCTGTGTACCAGTTTTTCCTAAAACCAGTCTCTCTGTATACTAGAAACTATCTTTAAACAAAACTGTAATGGAAAAATATTTATCTTGGGGATTTGTATGTTTGAATTTAGACATACATAAGTAAATACAGCACAAAGCAATACTGGAGTCCTGCTATATACACACACACTCACAGAATCTTACAAGCTTTAATCTATTTCTTGCATAAACGGAAAATGGTCATGCCCATTGCAAAATCTCTGTGTAACACTAGGTAAGTTTACAGGGTGTTATAGCAACATCCTTTTCCTTGGAAGTAGTCTCTCCCATTAATTTAATGCCTTAATTTCTGTAACACTACTATTTCAAAGAATAGAGTTGACTCATCTAATGAGGTACTACCAGCTAGCAGGAGACAACAGGACCAAGGGCAGAGAAAAAGCAGGAGCCTCCAGGAAGAAAACAATGCTTTAAAGAATGAAGACTTCGATTCCACAGAAAGATAGTCTGCTTCCTACAACCTACCTAATTCCACTGGCTTCACAGGAATTTAATTTAATATGACTAAAAGACAAAAGGTCTCTTTTTAATTGAAGGAAGTGAAATAGAGCAATTTATAAAAGTCTCCACAATAGCTATGCATTATTTAGATCCTATTTTGAAAATCCAAATGCTGCTAAGGTTAGGCACTGTTCTCTTTACAGTAATCCTTTTTCAGGTTTTAGTAGCTAGTTCTAAAACCAAAGCATGTTAATAAAACACCATCATAAATTCCATCTTTGTCATATCCCAATGTATTTCACTCCAAACCAATTCAACTAGTAAATAAGCAAGCCATAAAATCACTTGCAAGTCAAAACTTCTAACAACTACACATACAGAATATATCATGCCAACTTCCCATCCATTACTAATAATTATGACAAAAATACATGAGATATCTTTATGAGAGGGATGTCCAAATGCTTCACCTTCAATAGAATGAAAGAGTTAATTGCTGAGGGCTCTCCACAGTTTGGTTTTAAAAAAAAGTTTCTCTCATTAAATTAGACCAAGCCTTGAGCCACATCACCATTTGCTGAGCCTCTATCCAACATGCTTTAGTTATTGGCAATGCACTTAATCCTCCTCTGTTTGCACAGAAATTCATCCATGAGTCTGGCAAGAAAAGAGGTATTTCAGAATGAATGCCAGAAGGTAATTTATAGAACATCCAATTCTCAGGCCTTAACAAACAAGTTGTGTCACACTGCCTCCCAGTGCACAGTGTCTGCCTGAAGAAAAAGGCTGAAGAATCCATTTTAGACTTGGAAATACTACCAGTAACTCCTAAAGGAATTACAACTATCTTGGAGCCTGTTCTCAAAAGCATTTAAGTTGCTTTGAAAAATTCTAGACAGAAAGTAATATTGAACTCTGTGATTTCATTTCACTTTAAATAAAGAAAGAAATTGCAAAAGTAAAAACCAAAACCAGGCAAGTTCATCTGGTGGATTGCTTTTTTATTGAGTACTTGTACATTTTGTGTAAGTCTTGGGGAAAACCAGGACTTCTAAATCACAGATAAAAAATCACTGACAAAGCCCAAGAATTTTATAACAGATAAAGTTTCTCATAAGGTGACCCAAGCCAAAGCATTTCCAAGTCAAAAATAACCATAGACATCTATTAACCTCTGTGGGCCTCGTATCATGTTCTGAAACACTAGTACTTAGAGAATTCAGTCCTCCAATGCTGATCATTCAAAACCCCATAAAAGTAATTTCATAACTGTGTAAGCCAACATCCCAAAATGTTAATATCTAGCACCCTATTTTTTTTAATCAGTAACAAACACATCAACACCGATGTTCAGCAGAATTTACAATAGTCTAATACAGACACTTAGTAAAGAGGCTCAAGTTCAGTGTAATCACCATCTCCAAATCTTTGACAGGCTATGAACACACAGCATTGAAGAAAAGATTTTAAAAAAAATCATGCAGAAAAGATTTTTTTTAAAAAATCACCTCATTTAACAAAATCTGCAGCTGAATTACACTGGGAGAAAGAGGCAGGGTACTTTCTAACATTTTTAAGATGAGCATTATTCGTGTTGGCTCTTAAAAAAGTAGTAGTCGTTAAGCTTAGAGGCAGTTTGCTTATGTGAAAGGTCAGACATCTGAAGCTAAAAGCAAGTAAATTGGTCAAAAATGAGTGAAGCAAATTAACTTGATTTGCTCAAAAACGCACAACCTAACCCTAAAAAACATGCTGTTTACAAAAACACTGTCACAAGCCAAGCTTCTAAGAGCCAGTTAGAGGAACGTAATTTAGCCTTAGACATGCAGGTAACTGATCCCTTTTGTTTAGGGGAACTAATTAAATGAAAATGTGTCAGCTTTACAAATGAAACGGAAGAAGGGAAACACTTACAGCAGTTGGATCCTTCAAATGGAGCTGGGTCGCTGTCACTTGTTTGAAACCACCAGGATAGCTAGAAAAACAGAACAAACATACAAGCTTAACGCCAGGCGTTCAAGCACGATGTTAACACAAATATCACTACATCTTGGACAACAGTGTAGGGGTATTATAAGCCTTCAAAAAAAGGAAGTTGTTCTCATGAGGCCAGTAACTGTATTTTATTAGAAAGATTCTATCCTTTCAACTATCTAAATTTAACACCAGCTTTACTTTCTTACTTAATTCACTTAAGTATTAAAAAGTTTGTGTTTCACAAGCAGAACAACTGCTTATTAAATACACTATCACAGCTACAGAATACATTGAGACTAAGAGATGCAAAACCTGGAAATATTTCAAGATGATCAAGACTCACAACCAGTTTGTGGCTGACACGAGGCAACCATTTTGAACAGTATTTATTATTTTTTTACTATTTTAAATAAACCTTAGCATGATTTGACATCTTTACAGTAATAAAATCTGACTTCCTGTAAATAAAAGTACACTGCAATGTATCCATCTTTCTAAGGTCTATGTGACATGGCAAAGTTGTGCTAATTCACTCTTTAGCATATACTTTAAGTTAACACATTGGTGCAAGAATGAATACGGTGGTCCAAGAAATTACACAGATGTCAGGTAAAGCTGGGTTTCATTTTGATTTAACTATGCTACTAGGGATCAGCCTAAATCAAATGCAAATAAACCCAACATCATAAAACATATCCACTCAGTGAGCTGCACAGATTTAAAAATTTGTTTTATTGTACAGCTCTTTTCACTTACTCAAAACCAACTTCGCTACTTATGCAACTGCTTTCACTCAGAATCTTTTAGTGAATTCCCTTTTGAACTAATATTAAGAAAATATGACATTAAATTTATCACTTGCTCATATGAATATTTATTATAAAGCTTACCCAGTATGTGAAGAATATACTTTCTGTTCCCATTTGTTACCAGAGAAGGCAATATGTCTCGTATTTATTATGACAACGTGATCTCCACAGTCATCTACAAAGTAGAAATTAGTGGAAAATATTAAGAGAATCGTAGGAGTAATCAACCAAAATAACAACTATAAAGTGTGTAATGCATACATAGTAGCACATACATACATATTTCATTAAGCTCACTTTTAAAGATGTGAGTTTTTTGAGTCACACCATCCAAACCTGCAATTAAATACCAACCTTAAATTACTATTTTTGTAAGTACTGTCAGCTTAGAAGGCAGGTGAGCAGGTAAAATACCATCAGACTAGATAATTAAATAATTGCTTACAAGGAAGTGTATTATTTTATTCAACACATTATGCTGCATACGCACCTAAATTTCAAAAAACAGTATAAAAAAAGGTTAGTTCTATTCTAAACAAGGATCCTAAATATTTGTTTAGTTTTAGTTTTCTCACAAAAACAGTACCAATGTTTACTGGAGGACTGAATATTTTGGATAAGTAAAATATTTCCATTAAATAAGTACAGCCTAGGGCTAAATACATAAAAGAAACAAAAGATTTGGAAGGAGACACGGGGGGAGAAAAGCCTCACAAAAAAAGCTAAAATAGCTCTGCTTGGAAAAAACACATTTTCCAAAAGGACTCAAACTGAGCATGCATTTTTTATAGGAGCATATAATTAATCAATGCAAGTTTCACACCCTATGTAAGTTTTCTGCCATCTTTTAATCTTGTGTTCTTTTAAAGCTCTACTTGCACCTACAGCCAAAGTGCAAACACAATTTAAACATCTTCATTGACGCAGCCTTTCACCGCTGACAGATCAGTTCTGAGAACTGACACGGGACTTTGTGCCTTTTTTTTCTTCAGTTGGGAAGATGACAGAACAAGCTCATCCAAGGAAGTTTTTGCCAAGAGTTCTTCCCTTCAATAAATACTGAATTAACAATTTCATATACCAATAGATCAATTATGAACAATGAAGAGCCAGGAGAAAAACTAACCAGAATACTCATACGCTACCTGAATAATGACTGCAACCTGTTCTTTTAAAGTAGATTGAATTTATGGATAGCTAATGTCTCCTTCAAAATTTCAAATTAATACATTATTTTCCACTGGTCTCTGAACAGTGTTGTTCCCATCACCTCAGGAATGGCTGCACTTAATAAGAAAGCAAAAATATTCACTGTCTCCACAAACAATTGTCAAATTGTATTTGAAAAATATTCATAAATTATCATGCAAGAAAACTCTTCCTTTAGACTGTTTTCATGCTATAATATTGACTTATTCTTTTAGAAACTATGTATGTTTTCCTCAACAAATGCACAAAACCAAAGCCAGCATATTCTCTTACATGATGGCATATGTGATTTGTTACATACAGCATATACGTTGCACCTCTTCAGATAAAACTAAGCTGCCATTTTATATCTCTGTATGTTTACAGCTTCATTAATTCTTATCACACAGTAAAAACACATGCTTCAGGTGCATGCATTTTTCCTCCTACATTTTAATTAAGGACTAAACAGTAATTAAAGGTAGACATCATACTGTCAACTGCTAGCTCACAAGACAAACTACTTGCCAAATCTTTCACTAGAAGACGAGTTTACACTGCTTTTTCCAGCCATTATAAACTAACATTGCAGTCTAGAGTAACACCTGTGCCAGATCGGGTTTGTGGGACACTTCCATCCAGTCTAGTCTTCTCCTTTGAGGATGCAGCAAGAGAACAGCAGCAAATCCTACCCAAGCATCCCAAGTGGCTCACCTACACCTGCTCACAACCCAACACAAATAACCAGATCACACAATTTTTTTTTAAATCTGGCCCACTATTTTTGCTTCTGTATCGTGAAGCTGCTCACAAAGAGAGGATGCAAGGGGATGAGGGTAGAGAGAAGGTGAAGTGCAGAAGAAACCTAAAAATCCAGATTCAAACCTCCTGAACAAGGTTGTATCCCTTTATTTAAGGCATATGGCCTGGCAACATCTGAAAATACAAGACTCTGGAGAATAATAAAAGATTATCCCTAAAACACAAACTAAATACACATTAAATTATATTTCTTTCCATCCCTAACCACAGCTTAAATTCAGCTCCAGATACTTCTCTACACAATAAATAAATAACTATTTTATGGAAAGGTATCTGGATACCAAATTAAAAACAAAAAAACCCCAGAAAATCCCCACAATGTTATTCTGTTATCTCACAGACACTGAAATATTTCTTGTTAGTTCACAAAAAAAAGTAAAAAGAAAAAAAAAAGTGTTAGGTACACCAACCACAAATTCACATATACTTTGCTCTCTTAGAGAATATCAAATGTCTCAGTAGCAGTAACCTACCAATGTCAGTCTCAGGTGCAATGCATTTGGTACTGATTTATAGAATGCTTTATAGAATCCTAGAAGGGTTTGGGTTGGAAGGGACCTTAAAGATCACCTAGTTCCAAACCCCCAATATTTTAGACCAAATAAAGTTATTCTTTAAATTACTTTCCAAGATTTTATAACTTCCTGGACATAAAAGTATTAAAGATCTTCCCCCCAGGACAACCAAAAACTTTTCCTCTCAGTATCGGCTTTATTTTCCAGACAGCCTTAGTCTCCACTGACATCTTGTGGATAAGACGTAATTTGCAACAACTGAAATCTGGTATTTAAAGCCTCTACAAATACTACCTTCTAATCTATACACTCTACACGTATGAGCAAAGTTTAATGCTTCCCTTATGCTTCAGTAACATCTCTTGAAAAATTCCATGAGTATTAGAGAAACATTGTACTATCAATAGGAGGGATCACCTTTTAATTATCTATAAAATGCTTATCACCACAAGACAGGCACTATGGTATTGCAAATAATACGTATGAACATATGATATGAACAGTAAGTATGAACATAATAAAATGAACAAGATCACAGATACATCTCTACTGCTGAATCTTCTAATTTGCAGAAAAGCAAAATGACTTTTTAATTTAAACAAGAAGATATCTTTCAAGAATGTTTACGTCTCCCATTTAAGAATCTGAGAGGTTCTGGCCCCATCATCACAGAATGTCTGAGGTTGGAAGGCACCTCAGGAGGTCATGTTGTCCAAACCCCCTGCTCAAGCAGGACCATTTTTTTAATATCTCCAAGGATGAAGACTTCACAACCTCTTAGGCAGCCACTTCCTGTCACCCTCACAGAAAAAAAAGTTTTGGGATGTTCAGAGGGAACCTCCCGTATTTCAGTTTGTGCCCATTTCCTCATGAAGGCGGGACTTCTCCGCACCTTATTCAGAATGAGGAACCACTCCAACACTCTGTGGTGTTGTGCAGGTACTGAAAGGTAGCATTGGGAAAATCTAATCAGGAATCACATCAGTGTTGCATTATGTGCACTGTGAATTAAATCTTTACATTTAAAATCAATGCAATAAAACATACTTCAAGGTTTAAAAAATTGAAAGCATAATCCACTCTAATTCAGCTATGAAAAATAAATTATGAATTCATAACAAGCTTTATAAAGACTGGTAAAGACAATGACATGAGGCTGTAGAGGGGTATGAAAGCAAAAGATGAGAAGGAAAATGAAAACATTTATCATTCACAAACAACTGAAAAGTGTAACTTTATATGTCAGGCTTGATTTTAAAACTGAAATCAGAAGAAAAACACAAGTGACGGGAAGCAAATTTGCTTTTATCTACTGCAGTACTCACTTAGTGCATGATAAATCGGCTTATGCCTGCCTTCAAGTCTGACTACAGTCGCAGCTGCTATTTTTCCTGGTGGCTGCATCTTCGCATCAAGGAGGTACCAAGCTCTGGCAAAAGTAGCCCATTGCTAAAGAATAAGAGAGGTAGTAGTGAATCACAGAATGGTAGAGGCTGGAAGGGACCTCAGGAGACCATCTAGTCCAACCCCTCTCTCAAAACAGGGTCCCTCCACCAGGTTGCACAGGAAAGCATCAGGGTGGGGTTTGAACATCTCCAGAGACGGAGACTCCACAACCTCCCTGGGCAGCCTGTTCCAGTGCTCTGACACCCTCACAGTAAAGAAGTTTGTTCTTAAGTTTGTGTGGAACTTTTGGTGTTCCAGTTTTTGCCCATTGCCCCTTGTCCTGTCACTGGGCACCACTGAAAAGAGCCCATAAACGAACACATTACCATACATAAATCTAGCTTCTCCAATTAGAGCAACACTTTTTTTTTTTTTACACTCCAAAATACCAGAAAAAATATTCATATTCAAGAACACCCCCTCCAAAGAGCCTTTAAACAAACCCACTGCGGTACCCCCACTGCGGTACGTGCCGGTAACAACGCCGAAAGGTTACCGGCTCGGAGGGGTTTGTTTCACAAATGCAGATCTCTTGTTGTAAGGTTCCATCACTGCTAATTGAACTGTAAAACCGGGCTGTCCAACGCCCACCATCTCCCTCCCTCCTCCTGAAGGACACAACTCCCCCAGACGTAGTTTTAG